ATTAAGAACTCTTTTTTGTATTATTTTTAATTCTAAGCTAATAGATTCAACTTAATATTTCCAAGACGCAAAATACTTTGCTGTCTTTGAAACCGAATTTAAATTGGTTGGAATGAGTTTGTTAGTGATTTTCAGTAAAATCAATAAAATTGTTCATATTGACAACGCAATATGTATCTTTTTATTAAAAAGTCTTTCCAAAATAAAATATGCTTTTCTTTTAAAGTTACTGTAACTGCCGCTCTAATATATTTTGATAATTGTCGTGTATGGACGTCTGTATTTACAAAAATTGGCACGTTTATACATACACAAAAATTTGAAATTCTTTTTAAAATAGCAGGGCTCAATGAATTGTAGTAATCCTTTCCATTTATCATTAAATTATATTTAATAACAAAATCACTTGCCTGCCACAAATTCATATAAAATTTTCAGTTCAGGGTATGACAATAAACTAGATTCAGCGTCAAGGACTCTTAATTGCTGGTGTTCCCAGGTCTACACTGTTACAGGATGATAACACCTGTTAATGTCTCAGCTTTGGGCAAATAGTGAACCCCACCCACAAACTTAAAACAAATCCTAGTAATATATTTTTATATAGTAAAGTTACCAACAATACAATTTTATAGCAAAATGACCAACAATACATTTTATTTTTAGTCGAAGCCATAAATTTGTGTTCAAAATATTTAGATTTCGGCATTTAAAATCCATTAGAGATTGATATGCCGCTAAACAAAATTAACTAAATAACCAATCAATACAAAATTTTAAAAGATTTAAAAGTTTATAAATTATTCTAATGAAAATTAAAAAAAATTAAAACAATTCTTACAAAACGGTATTATTCATCGAAAAAGAAAATAGTGTATATAATATTTACAATTTTATAAATTACATTTTAAATTTACAATTTTATGATTTACAATTTTATAAATTACAATTTAAATTTACAATTTTATGATATACAATTTTATAAATTACAATTTATATTTACAATTTTATGATTTACAATTTATAAATTACAATTTAAATTTACAATTTTATGATCTACAATTTACAATTTTATTCATAAAAGCAAATGCTTTTCTATTATAATGACTTTGTTTCATTTTTTATTTTTTGTTTCAGAGATTTTCTGTAAATAGAGGGCATGTTCAACCAAAAAAAAAAAAAAAAAATTGATGATTTATATCCTCCGACGACTTGTTCTTATAATTGATATAAACGTTAAGCGCTACAAAAAAAAAAAAAAAAAAAAAAAGAATTTCCCGAAATTTCAAAAACTTAAATAACTGATGATGGGGATAACAGTTGGAAAAAAAAAATTATCCAGATTTTCTAAAAAGAGAAACTTTTTTAGGACAAATTTCATTCATTTGTGAATTAGTCTTTGAAAAATTAAATAAAACTTTGAGAGACTGAACACGTCCATATTAATTAATCAAACATGTTTGAGAGAATTCTCGCTGCCTAAATACACCTTATATATATATATATATATATATATATATATATATATATATATATATATATATATATATATATACGTGTGTGTGTGTGTGTGTGTGTGTGTGTGTGCGTGCGTAAATTCCGTAAACTCGCGGAATATATAAATATATTTTGGACAATTTTGACAGTCACGCGTTCCAGAAAATAGAACTAATACTAGGAAGACTATTAAACAAATTTAATAAGAAACGAAAGAAAACGAAAAATAGATTATATATATATATATATATATATATATATATATATATATATATATATGAAATATATATGAGTTATTTTATAGATACATATGTAAGTAAATGCTCTGTTTATAAAAAAAAAAAAAAAAAGTATAAACTATATTTACCGGCCTGAGAAATTTCATGGAATATATATGTCCTCCAAAATTAATCGAACCTCTATCTGGGAAAATTGTAGTTTAAAGACAGTAATTAGAGCTTGCTAATCAGGCACTTTCTCTCTAGCTAAATGGTATACCACGGCAGGCTATGTGACGATTCCGTGTAGGAAACAAGTTTGATTCCTGTCGAAGGACACACATTCTCTATGAAATTTTGGCGAACATTCAGACTGGTAAATGTTAACACTATTTATTATAAACAGAGCATTTACTTAAATATTTGTATCTATAAAAGTAGCCTTTAAACAGAAAATATATTGATATATAAAATATCTTAATACACACACACACATATATATATATATATATACACACACATATATATCATTATATAAATTATTTTAAAAATTTTTTTATCATACATATATATATATATATATATATATATATATATATATATATATAAATTAATTGATTTAAAATATGTTTTTTTTCCGCTACATATTTCTAACCATGTTTCAAAAATGGAAGCTAAAAGCCCCGAATTTAATTTTGTAATTAAATTAAAGACATTAGTTCTATTTCACCCTCAAGCGAATTTTGGAGTAACTTTTAAAATTACTGGGTTTTAAAGACACAGCTAAAATCATAATTCATATTTCCAAGGTTACAGATGAATCTTACTGTTCTATTTTTATATATATATATATATATATATATATATATATATATATATATATATATATATATATAAATTTATAACCATGTATACATACATATATATACATGAGAGATTATGATATATAAGTTTCTGTAAGCATATTTATACATATCTATATATATATCTATCGAGATATCTATATATATCTATCGATATATATATATATATATATATATATATATATATATATATATATATATATATATATATATAAATCAAACAAAGCTAAAAGACTAGGAAAAAGATTATCTTTTCAGTCTTGAACAAGGCAGCATTAAAGATGGATTGCTACTAAAATACACAACTATATATATATATATATATATATATATATATGTGTGTGTGTGTGTGTGTGTGTGTGTGTGATTGTAAATAAAAACTTTATCAGGGAGTGCTGAAAAGCTCTCGAACGGCTCGACCCACTTTCCAAAATTTAGCCAAAATACTTTTTCCTATTTTTTTTATTTTATTTAATTTTTTTTTTGTTGTTGTTGCAGGCCAGAAAACTTTCTCGGTGGTGACGAACACTTTTCAGCGCCCTTCGATTATAAAGACATGAAATGAAAGTATAGTACTCTCCACTACGGCTATTATGACATACATTTACTTTATAAACCAAACGAAAGTTAAGTAAAAATTGGAGCTAAACAAATCGTTTGTTTTAACGTTTCACTCAGAGGAAATATCGTCGAATCTATCGCAGTACGTAATGAAACTTTTTAGTTTAGCTAGCAGAATAAAAAAAAAATACCAAAAAAAAAACAACACACACACAAACACACACACACACACACACCGGTGCTCTTTCTTTTTATATAAATAACAGCAACAGACAACGAAATCTGACATGGACACCTTTACACACGATCATATAACTTAATGATACTTACTTTAATCACTTTCTAATTGAATATAACCAGATTGGACAAGAATTCTCACACAATGCTATGTCGAAAGAATAAATGTTGAAACAAACAAAAAAGAAAAAAAAAAACGAAACAAAGACTATTTAAGTGTCTAACGCTTCTAGTTGAATCGTGTAGCGTTATTAGATTCAAGCATAACGAGTTTTACCACGAGTTTTGCATACTACATCTTTACACACACGTGCAACTGAACCCTTCACCAGGGAATGCCACATTTACTACTGCTTCAGCCTATTTTCATCGATAAAAAAAGAAGAAGCAGACCCCACAAAAATGACGAAAAAAGAATGAAAGGTACTCACTCTCTGAATATATATATATATATATATATATATATATATATATATATATATATATAGATAGATAGATATAGATAGATAGATAGACTTTTCTGTGTGTGCCGCAGGTAGCCTAATAGTCGCCTTCATTCTTTTTACCTTTTTTGTTGACATCGCTTTTGTTGTTGTAGAATTAATAATAATAATAATAATAATAATAATAATAATAATAAAACATAGCAACCAAGGAATTTGAAAAACTTCAAAATACAAAGAAAAAATAGAAAAATGGAAATTGAAAACAAGAATAATACCAGTGGTAATAGGTGCACTTGGAATTATAAAAATGGAACAAAACAACACATTGAAAGAATCCTGAAACCCCAGCTTAAGAGACATACAGAAAATTGTCTTATTAAGTACAGCACACACTAAGGAGAACTTTGTCTATGTAACGCTAGCAACTTCATCGGAGATAAAAAAAAAAAAAAAAAAAAAAAAATTAACATGAAATGTGGCCATAACAACACACCACGACCTGCCTTAGGTCTTTCCGCAGACTTGGTAGGTAGTGTGTCCATAGCAGAAATCGAATGATGATGATAATAATAATAATAATAACAATTACTATTATTATTATTTGATGATTTTTCCGATGATTTGTTCTTATAGCTAATAATACACATTTAAGCCCTGGAAAAATAATTTCTAGAAATTTCATAAAATTAAGTAAGTGTCGGGGTGACTGAGGGCTCCAACCACAACTGGCATTATTGATGTTCTCATGTACCACATTTTGAGATACATTATTATTATTATTATTATTATTATTATTATTATTATTATTATTATTATTATTATTATTATTCAATTGTTGTTTGATACAAACGTTTATCTATCAGCTTAGAGACCTAAGGTAAATTAAGTTTTTACGTTAGAAGTTGTTAACATACGGGATTAAAATATCGCTTTTCTTAGTATCTTAACAGCAATACTTTTAAGACAGAGAATTCTTTATTTATATTTCAGTAAAGTTTTATTATTATTATTATTATTATTATTATTATTATTATTCGCAAAGTTTGAAATCTCGCAAATATAGAAGCCGGTCGACATGTGCTGTTGGTTGAATGAATGGGAAGACAACCTCGCAAAGAATAGAAAGCAAAAAAAGAAAGAAAAAAGAAGTCAAATAAATAAATAAATTATATACGTACAGACATTCGTTCTGTCTTGCCTCGGCTCGAGGTTATTCTTACAGTGCAAGGCAAGGAATTATCTTTCCACGCGTTTGTATACTGACGGTAGGGGTAGACATACGAACGAGACAGCTAACGTGTTGGTGTGTTTGTGGCGACAAGAATTCTTTGTATTGATGTGTGTGTGTGTGGATTGTTTTTTTTTTGTTTTTTGTTTTTTTGTGGTGGGAATCGTGTCAGTCGGGACATACTAATTTTGTTTGTATATGCGTGTTTAATGTGAATACATGCGTTCCCATTTGTCTCCTTAAAAAGTTTAACGAACAGACAAATTTATAACCTTATATATGTGTGTGTATGTTTTACATGATATGTTAGGATATTTACGTCAGTGTGTGTGTGTGTGTGTGTGTGTGTGTGTGTGCGCGCGCGTTTGTATTCCTAATTTAAGTCTGTGTAAGCAAATGTGTGTTGCATGTCAGGGTTGATCAACGTGATATTTATGAAGTGCGTGCAGGCGTGTGTGTGTATTTATTTAGGAATATTTCAATATATGTTTGTGTATATATATGTCTTTCACTGCGTGTGTTAATGAACCTGTTTATGTATATGTATCACTTGGTATGTACGTATGTAAGTATGCCTCATCTTTTGTGCGTTTTCACAAGTGTGTATGGATCATTTGGTAAAACTTTATTGAATAAGATGAAAGGACATTGTAAAGATAGGGAGAGAAAGAGAGGTTATGAATGTTAGTTTATATACAAGCAGATAAGTAAATATGGGTTAATGTGAGTATGTATGTGTTTACGCACACGCGTGTATATATGTGTAAGTGTGCGTGTGGATACATGCGTGTGTGTGTAAGCTGTAAAATTTTGCATTACGTTGCAAATTGTAGGTAATGTGAAAATCAAACGTCATTTTTTTGTGTGTGTATGCTAGTTTATATGTGTGTGCTTATGTGCTTTTCATGTATGTGCATGTGATATATGTGTAGCATATCTGCTGATGTCTATGGGTATATTTGTCGGTCTCAGGTGAAAATCTGTCAGATCGAAAGCGCATGGTCGAGAAACGTAGCTGTGTGTGTGTGTGTCTGTGTGTGTGTGTCTGTGTGTGTGTGTGTGTGTGTGTGTGTGTCTGTGTGTGTGTGTGTGTATGTGTGTCAGTGTGTAGATGCAGACAGAGGCGGTTGTAGAAACTTAGCCAATCAAAAAAGCAGATGTAAAAACGTGCCATTGAAAAATAAAAATAAAAAATGTAAATAAAAAAACAAAATAAAAAATCAAGTAAAGGAAGACGAGCCTTTTCCGATTTTACTTTTCTTTCTTTGTTCGACTTCAGAGTGAGAAAGAAAGAAAGAAAGAAAGAAAGAAAGAATGAATGAATGAATGAATGAATAAAAAAAAAGAGGAGATAGAAGAAAGAAAGAAAAAGGAGCAAAAGAAAGAAGAGAAAGGAGGGGGAAACGTGGAAGTGAAGGAAAAAATAAAACATTAAGTAAAGTTGTGAAATACAGGAAGTGAAATTACTGCTTGAAGGTTAGTTCATTCCTCCTTTGTATATTATTTTACAGTTAAATACACACACACACGCACACACACGCACACACACACACACACACACACATGCGCGTGCGCACTAATACACACACATACACACACATGCATACACGCGCACACACATACACACACGCAGTCACACTAACGCTAATTTTCTCGTTCCCTTTCTATCACTATAATAATGATAATAATAATAATAATAATAATAATAATGATAATAATAATAATAATAAGATATGGCTTGTCCAATACTTTGGAACATAGCAACCAAGGAATTTGAAAAACTATCAAAATACAAAGACCTGGAAATTGAAATAGAAAAATTCTGGAAATTGAAAACAAGAATAATAATTGTGGTAATAGGCCGCATTTTGGAATTATAAAAAAATGGAACAAAACAACACATTGAAAGAATCCCTTGAAAACCCCATTTTAAGAGACATAATTTGAAAAATTGTCTTATTAAGAAATACAATACAAAAACTAAATTGAACTTTGTCTATGTAACGCTAGCAACTTCATTATAAAAATGTGGCCAAAACAACACACCAAAGACCTGCCCCAGCTTAGGTCTTTCAGAAAACTTGGTAGGTAGTGTGTCCATAGCAGGAAATCGAATGATGATGATAGCAATAATAAAAATAAAAAAAAAAAAAAAAATAATAAATAATAATAATAATAATGATAATAATAATAATGATAATAATAATAATAATGATAATAATAATAATGATAATAATAATAATGATAATAATAATAATGATAATAATAATAATAATAATAATAATAATAATAATAATAATAATAATAATAATAATAATAATAATGACATTTGGCGAGAGAAGGTTGGGCAAACAATTAGAAAGTACATAGACAAAAATAAACTAGCCAATGTAAGAAGGGACATCATGCGAAATAACCGATTGACAGAGGCTGAAATTAATGAAATAAAAGAATTGCAACAAGAATAGATGAACCAACAAAACATGAAAAGGAACCGGAATCAGGAAAAAAAAGTAGTAACATCACACAAGCCTCAGGTCATAATGAAAAAAACCGAAATACACACAAATCACTGTGAAGATAATGCTGAAAATTTAGAAATGTTGGAAAGGTATGATCTTAGTCAGTCACAAGACGGTAATAAAACGAGTTCAAAATTCATCGAACAGAATTATTTCACAGAAAACAAGATTAATATACAAGAAGCCAAGGATGAAATCATGAGCCATATAAGTCAGATACAGAATATTGCAATGGAGGAACGAGAACAACTCCCAAAATTACAACCAACAAAGCATAACCTCAAAACTATTAAGCTCTATAATGCAGCACTCAAATTGATTCTGGATGAAGAAGACACTCATATAAATCTCAATGAAGCAATATATGCATCAGCAATAGCAGCAACAAATAAACTGAACATCAAAGTAAAAAAAAAACAGTCTCACAGACATGAAGATCCACCTTGGAAAGAAAAATAGAAAAAAAGAAATTGAACACCTTAGAAGTGAATTATCAGTACTCGATGAACTAGCAAGAGGAGTAAATGTAAGAACTAGAAAAGGCAGAAGAGTCGAAAGAAAATACAATATCAGGAATGAAAATGAAGTCCTATCAACTAAAGAAAAAAATAAAGCAAACAATACAACTGAAGGCTCAAAGAATAAGACGCTACGAGAAAAGATCAAGATTCTATAGACAGAACAAGATCTTTCAAACCGATGCAAAGAAATTTTTACAGGGAAATAGGTAAACAAAGAATTGAAGTGACAGTCCCCCTAAAATGGAAGAAGTTATACAGTTCTGGGGAAAAAATATGGGCTTGCCCTAAAGAACACAACGAAGAGGCAGATTGGATTGCGCAAGAGTTAGAACGAATGAAAAATAAACCAGAACAGACATGGGCGGGAATCACAGAAGAAGATGTTAAATGTGCACTGAAAAAGCACACAACTGGAAATCTCCAGGAATAGATAAAATTCTAACTTCTGGCTATATTATTTAAATACAGCACACAAAAAAACTCGCCAAAGAACTTCAAGAAATGGTTACCGATCCAACTAAAATTCCTGCATGGATGACCAAAGGAGTTACCTTTCTTCTACCCAAAAATAGTGACACAAATATTCCGAAAACTATAGACCAATTACATGTCTTCCAACAACATACAAACTGTTAACATCTATTTTAACAAAACAGACATATTTCTTCTTGGAAAGAAATGACATACTACCACTTGAACAAAAAAGGGTGCAAACGAGGCTGCTACGGATGTAAAGACCAATTACTTATTAATAGGATGATCCTGGAAAACTGCTTCCGTGGAAAAAAAATCTTAGTATTGCCTGGATAGATTATCGTAAAGCATTCGATAGTGTACCACATTCCTGGATCTTAAAGTCTTTAAGTATGTACAAAGGTATCACCCGTTATCATCAATTTCATCAAACAATGTATGTCGATATGGAAAACTACACTTTACCTCAATCATAAAAATGGAACCTATAAGTCTGGCGAAATAAACATCAATAGAGGAATATTTCAAGGTGACTCTTTGTCTCCTTTATTATTTTGCATATCACTTATAGCATTAACCAGCCAACTTAACAAGACAGAATGCGGTTACAAAATAGCTCAAAAGAAAATAAACCATCTATTTTACATGGATGACTTAAAATTGTATGCTAGGAATGACAATGAGCTGGAAGGTCTTCTGCAAACTGTAAAATGCTTCAGTGAAGACATCGGAATGAAATTCAATTTGGATAAATGTGCTAAAGCTACAGTTTTTACGAGGATCGCTACAACAAACTTCCTCTATTAGTTTAGACCCTGCTGTAACAATAAAAGATTTAGAACAAGGAGAAGCTTATAAGTACCTAGGTGTAAATGAGAGTGAAGGAATTCACCATAAGAAAATGAAAAGAAATAGTGCGTAAAAAGAGTACTATAGAAGGGTACGACTGGTATTAAAAACTGAATTGAATTCTCAGAACAGAATTATGGCCATTAATAACCTTGCCATCCCAGTGGTCCAATATAGTTTCAACATCTTGAACTGGACTCTAAATGACATCAGACAAATGGATTCTAAAACAAGAAAGCTTCTTTCTAAGTATAAGATGCATCATCCAAAGGCTGATGTAGACCGTCTATACATACCCCGTAAAGAAGGTGGAAGAGGTCTTATTCAGCTAGAATTGTCATACAAGACAACAACTATTGGCTTACTAACTTACATGGAAACAACAAATGACTGGATGATAAAATTAGTGAAACAACATGAAAACAGAAAGAAAAAAATATTCAATAATAAAAGAAGGCAGTAAATACAAACAACATTTACATTTAGTAGATTCTGTAGTAAATCAAAACAGAAGCCAAGAACCAACTATTGCAGCAAAAGATATGAAAAAAAAAGCCAAGGATAAAGCCCTTGAACAGATGAAACAACGCTGGCAAGACAAACCTCTGCATGGCCAATATCCAGAACGTGCAAATAAACCCAATGTTGATAAAGTTAATACTCATCGATGGTTACGAGCATCTGGATTAAAGTCTGAAACTGAAGGCTTTATTCTTGCAGCGCAAGACCAGAGTCTTTTCACTAGGAATTTTCAGGCAAATATCATACATAATAATGTGGATCCAAAATGCAGGTTCTGTGACAAATACCAAGAAACAATAGACCATCTAATCTCAGGATGTTCTATACTTGCCCCAAAATGAATATAAAAATCGTCACGATAGAGTGGGGCAATACTTACACTGGACAATGTGCAAACACTTTGGAAAATGTGTAAGCAAACACTGGTATGAACATCGGCCAGCGCCGGTTACAGAAATAGAAGATGTCACCATTCTATGGGATTATACCATCCACACAGACAGAAAAATTGAAGCAAATAGGCCGGACATCATTGTCAAAACCAGAAAGAAAAAACTTGCCTACTAATTGATATGGCTTGTCCAGCGGATTGTAACATAGCAACCAAGGAATTTGAAAAACTATCAAAATACAAAGACCTGGAAATTGAAATAGAAAAAATGTGGAAATTGAAAACAAGAATAATACCAGTGGTAATAGGTGCACTTGGAATTATAAAAAAATGGAACAAAACAACACATTGAAAGAATCCCTGAAACCCCAGCTTAAGAGACATACAGAAAATTGTCTTATTAAGTACAGCACACACACTAAGGAGAACTTTGTCTATGTAACGCTAGCAACTTCATCGGAGATAAAAAAAAAAAAAAAAAAAAAAAAAAAAAAAATTAACATGAAATGTATTATAACAACACACCACGACCTGCCTTAGGTCTTTCCGCAGACTTGGTAGGTAGTGTGTCCATAGCAGAAATAATAATAATAATAATAATAATAATAATAATGATAATAAAATAATAATGATAATAATGATAATGATAATAATAATAATAATAATAATAATAATAATAATAATAATAATAATAATAATAATAATAATAATAATGATAATGTTTGCCTAACACTAAAATAATAAACACTGGTATAATAATAATAATGAAATAAAGATATTCTATGGGATTATACCAATAACAGAAAATGATAATAATACATTATTGTCAAAAACCAGAAAGAAAAATTTGCCTACTAATTGATATAATTGAAATAGCAACCAAGGAATTTGAAAAACTATCAAAATACAAAGACCTGGAAATTGAAATAGAAAAATGTGGAAATTGAAAACAAGAATAATACCAGTGGTAATAGGTGCACTTGGAATTATAAAAATGGAACAAAACAACACATTGAAAGAATCCCTGAAACCCCAGCTTAAGAGACATACAGAAAATTGTCTTATTAAGTACAGCACACACACTAAGGAGAACTTTGTCTATGTAACGCTAGCAACTTCATCGGAGATAAAAAAAAAAAAAAAAAAACATGAA